GGTATATAGTAATATGCGGCCGGGCGCAGTGGCTCACGCCTGTAATCCCAGCACTTTGGGAGGCCGAGGCTATAAGATCACCTGAGGTCAGGAGTTTGAGACCAGCCTGGACAACACAGTGAAACCCATCTCTACTAAAAATACAAAAATTGGCCAGACATGGTTGCGGGTGCCTGTAATCCCAGCTACTCAGGAGGCTGAGACAGGAGAATTGCTTGAATTCGGGAGGCAGAAGTTGCAGTGAGCCTAGATTGCGCCAAGGCACTCCAGTCGGGGTGACAGGGCGAGACTTCGTCTAAAGAATGAAAAAATAAAAATAAAGACTATAATAATATGCATGAGTGTATTCTAGCTTTCCCTGTCTTGCAGAGTGGCTGTAAGAAGGAGATGAGATAATGTGAGTAAAGCTAAGCACAGTGCCTGCTGCACAGTAAATGACCACTAAGGGCCAACAAAATTGCCAGCCAGAAAGGTGGGGCACAGAGTCAACCATAGGAAGGCAGCTCCCTGAAATCCTGCCAGCATGATGGAGGATTTGAGGCCCAACCTGAAGTCTTTGGTCTAGGGCCAGATCAAGTTGGTTCTTGATTGGGCCTTGTCACAACTTTTTCATAATCAAGTGCTACTAAGGTTTCTGAGATTGTGCAGGGGCGATTCTGTGTGCAAACACCAGGAAAGAGGAGGAGGCCTGCAATCTGGTTTTTTGTTTTGTTTTGTTTTGCTTTGAGACAGAGTCTCATTCTGTCACCCAGGCTGGAGTGCAATGGCGCGATCTCGGCTCACTGCAACCTCCGCCTCCTGGGTTCAAGCAATTCTCCTGCCTCAGCCTCCTGAGTAACTGGGACTACAGGCACGTGCCACCACACCCGGCTAATTTTTTGTATTTTTAGTAGAGACAGGGTTTCACCATGTTAGCCAGGATGGTCTCAGTCTCAGTCTCCTGACCTCGTGATCCACCTGCCTCGGCCTTCCAAAGCGCTGGGATTACAGGTGTGAGCCACTGCGCCCAGCCCAATCTGGGCTTCTTTGCCCTCAATTAATTCCTCCAACCTAGGGGTCTGCATACTATGGCCCAAAGGTCAATGTTTGGTCCACCAGTTGTTTTTTGTGCAGCTTGTGAGTTAAGAATGGTTTACATGGTTGAAAAAAAAAAAATCACATTTCATGACACATGCAAATCAAATGAAATTCAAAATTCAGTGTTCATAAGTGAAGTGTGGTTGAAACATAGCCATGCCCAGTCATTTACATGTTATCTACGGCTGCTTTTGCACTATGATGGCAGCACTGAGTAGCCACGACGTAGACTGTATGGCACACAAAGCCTAAAATACTGCTGCCTGGCCTGGCCCTTTCCCGAAAAAGTTTGCTGACTCTTGCTCTAGCTTTGTGGCTCCCAAACTCTGCTGCATGTATTATCAAATTATCTAGGAAACATTTTATTTTTTATTTTTTTTGGTCTCGCTCTGTCGCCCAGGCTGGAGTGCAGTGGCGCAATCTTAACTCACTGCAACCTCCACCTCCTGGGTTCAGACGATTCTCCCGCCTCAGCCTCCCGAGTAGCTGGGATTACAGGTGCCCACCACCACACCCAACTAATTTTTGTATTTTTTTGTAGTGACAGGGGTCTCAAATTCCTGGGTTCAAGTGATCCTCCCACCTCAGCCTCCCAAAGTGCTCAGATTATAGGCGTGAGCCACCTTGCCTGGCCACGTCTCAAATGTTAACATGCACACGAGTCGCTAGGGGTCTTGTTAAAATGCGATGATTCAGTAGGTCAAGTGGGACCCAGCTTTTGTGTCTCTAACAAGCTGATGATGCCAGTGCTGCTGGTTCTGGTGCCCTACTTGGAATAGTAAGGTGGTGGGCCGGAGGTTCTCAAACTTTAGCATGGCCAGAGCCTCCTGGAAGGCTGTTAAAACCCAGACTGCTAGTTAAAACCCAGAGGCCTCAGAGGGAGACTGAGGATTTGCCTTTCTATCAAGCTCTCAGGTGATGCTGTTTCAGCTGGTCTGGGGACCAGACTTGGAGAATCCCTGCTCCCAGCTCTGCACTGACTCTCCCCTAGGGTAGGGGAGCCCCGCAGTCCACAGAAGGTGGGATTTTTTACTCTCTCTGAGGTCAGACTCCTTGACACCCAGTTCTCACCGAGGGAATTAGGTCTCAGTTGGCTTCCCCAGTCAACTGTCTCTGACCAGACTCAAGCGGTTTCCTCAAGTTCAACCCACGACTTACAGACATGATTGGAATTGGGAGACAGCGGAAGTTCTCGTCCATGTGTTGCAAACCTCTTCCCCATTCCAGGGGGTTCTGATCCGTGCAGTTTACAGCCGAGGCCCCCTCTGAGGAGCTCTCACATTAGACACCACCGTGGGCCTCTACACAAGCGAATTTGAGCCCCAGGTATGAGGTCTTGGGTAGGCCCTGGCCTTCAGCTTCAGGCCTGGAGCCCCAGGGATGGGAGGGGAAGGCCACACCCTCCCAGAGAGCTGTGGCTGCTGCAGCGTCAGGGACAAGGGCAGGGCCCTCTCTTGGGTCAGGCTGGGCCCAGAGCCATTGCCTCAACTGCCTTGAACAAGAATGACCACCTAAGTCCCAGCCGGTTTCCCGGAGTCCTTGAACTTGAGAGTGCTGGTGGCCAGATCTGGATGCGTGAGCTTAAGGAGACCAGAGAGTATGAATTCCTGAATTCTCTTCCTGGACTTTATTTTATTTTATTTTTTTGAGACAGAGTCTCACTCTGTCGCCCAGACTGGAGTGCAGTGGTGTAAGCTCAGCTCACTGCAACCTCCGCCTCCCGGGTTCAAGCGATTATTCTCCTGCCTCAGCCTCCTGTGTAGCTGGGACTACAGGCGTGTGCCACCACGCCCAGCTAATTTTTGAATTTTTACTAGAGATGGGGTTTTGCCGTGTTGGGCAGGCTGGTCTCGAACTCTTACCCTCAATGATCCACCTGCCTCAGCCTCCCACAATTCTGTGATTACAGGCACAAGCCATGGTGCCCGGCCTTTTTCCTGGATTCTCAACAGCATCGTCTTGCCTCTCCCTGGGGCTCCCTGTTCCTCTGAAGACCCCGCCTGTGGGTGGGGATGTGAGCAGGGCTGGTGTCTGCTGTCCATCCCAGGCAGGGCCATCAAGTCCCATAGGACAAGACAGCACACAAAGCCTGGACCCTGGGAAAGGCAGGGGTATTAGGAGGCCTGGACCAGCCCTCAGGCAAACCCTTGCTCTTCGCTCTCCAGTGGGGTGACCTTGGGCAGCTGTCCATGCTGCAGAGGCAATGATGCCCCGGAGCGTTGACTCAAGGATTAAATGAGATGATGGCTTAAAGTGCTGTGACAGTTCCTGGCACATTAGGTACTCTGTGGACGGTGGCTGCTATCATCAGCATAATAATAGATACTGGCCAGGCACAGTGCCTCACACTTGTAATCCCGGCGCTTTGGGAGGCCGAAGCAAGAGAATCGCTTGATATGAATTATGATGATTGAGTTATGTAAACTGCCATGACACACTCTCTCCCATTCCCTTGGAGCCTTCCAGATACAACAGTTTTTGTTTGTTTTATGCCTGAAAAGCACCTATTTGGCTGTAAAACTGTATTCATTCCCATATTAAACCCACATCTAAGTGCCTACAGTGTGCCAGCCATTGATCTGGGTCAGCACTATCCAACATACATACAACACAAGCCACAGATCGGAATGGCATAAGCAACTGAAAATTTTTTTTATTTCCTCTTTTGAGACAAGGTCTCACGCTATCACCTAGGCTACAGTGCAGTGACATGATCATGGGCCACCGCAGCCTCGATCTCCCGGGCTCCAGCGATCCTTCCACCTCAGCCTCCCAAGTAGCTGGGACTGCAGGTGCACGCCACCATGCTTGGTTAATTTTTTTTTTTTTTTAATTTGTATGTTTTGTAGGGACAGGGTCTTGCTATGTTGCCCAGACTAATCTTGAATTCCTGGCCTCAAGTGATCCTTCTGCCTGGGCCTCCCAAAGTGCTGGGATTACAGGCGTGAACCACTGTGCCCAGCCCAGCAATGTAAAATTGTCATAGCCACATTTTAAAAGTAAACACAAACAGATCAAACTAATTTTATTAATATATTTCATTGAACCCATATATCCAAAATAGTACTTCAACATATAATCAATATTAAAAATTATTTGTGAGTTTTTAAATATTCAATGTGTCTTTTAAAATATTTAATTGTGGAAAATACATGTGTATAACAAAATTTACACTGTGATCATTTTTAAGTGTACAGTTCAGTGGTCTTAACTCCATCCACATTATTGGTCCTCAGAAAACATTCTGGGGGCTGGGCACGGTGGCTCATGCCTGTAATCTGTAATCCCAGCACTTTGGGAGGCCGAGGTAGGCAGATCACCTGAGGTCAGGGGTTCGAGACCAGCCTGGCCAACATGGTGAAATCCCATCTCTACTAAAAATACAAAAAAAAAAAAAAAAAATTAGCTGGGCTTGGTCCAGGCTCATGCCTGTAATCCCAGCTACTCAGGAGGCTGAGACAGGAGAACCACTTGAATCTGGGAGGCAGAGGTTGCAGTGAGCTGAGATCACGGCACTGCACTCCAGCCTGGGTGACAAGAGTGAAACTCCATCTCAATTAAAAAAAAAAAAAAAAAAAAAAACTGGGGCTACGGAGGAGGGAGGATGACCTCCATTCACAGAGGACTTCTTGGAGGAGGTGGCACTGGAGCTGGGCCTGGAAATCGTAGAGGATATGTGGGTAGAGGTAAAGGTTTTGCACTCCAGGACTGAGTAACAGCATGAGTCAAAGTGTGGTGGTGGGAATTCCCAGGGTACCCATGGGCTTCAGTGTGTGGTTGCATGGGTATGGGATGCAACTGAGAAGCCTCTCATAGGCACTGACCTCTCTCCGTGCCAGACACGGTGCCAGGTGCTTCATATTTACGATTTAATCTTCACATCAACCCAATGAAGTCAAAACTATTTTCCCCTCATTTTACAGATGGGGAAACCAGGGCACAGAGAGGGTGAGTAAATTTCACAAGGTCACACAGTAAGTGACCAAACTGCGGTTCGAACCCAACTTCTTAACCACTACTCCATTGTAAAGCAAAGTGCAAGGAATTAAAGGAGACATCTAGGCTGGGACCAGGTTGCAAGGTGTCTTGGAAGCCAGCTAAGGGTTGAGGGGCCTTTATTCTATAGACACCAGTAACCCTTGAAAGTTTCTGACAGGAGCGTGACATAGATAGCTAAGCCTCAAGGAAGTGCAGGCCAAAGACTGAATCTTTCTTTTAGCAAGCTGGGAAATTCCCCTTCCAGCACCAGTCCTTTCTAAGGCAGCCTTGCAATTAAGTATCTAAACTCAGCAACCACCTACACATTTCATCCTTCTTTTTCCCTAATGAATTACAGTAGCCAACCTTCATTCAACACCATGCCAAGAGCTTTATATGCATTTTCACCCTCACTGAAAACAAAACAAAAACCTAACAAAAAACCAAGGTACTATTGCTGGCCTCATTTGCAAATGAGACAACTGAGGCTCAGAGAGGTGATGCAATTTTGCCAAGATCACCCAGCCACCCAGCCAGTAAGAGATGGGAAGAGATGCCACTCAAGTCTGTCTAAC